GATTTCACAGAATGGCATAGCATGAGTTAACCAGTAGAAAAGTTCTTCTGCTCACAACACCATCTTTGGCCCCACACATTGATGTCTGCTTGTTTGTTGCATTCTCTGTGCACTTGCTACTTATTAATAGATTCTTAAAAGTCAGTTTTGTTTTAAATTTCCCTTTAAGTACATCTGTGTCCACTAGGTGGAGATAAAGCAATTTAGTTCAAACGTTACTGGGTGTTGACCACACTAGAATCTGTTGGCAGCTGCTGCTCACTGGTTTTCAATAGTGAAAAAACTTACTTGGGGTAGAGCAATGGGGAATCAGAAAGTCATACACACTACTTTTGTGAAGAGAAGAATATTATATCTCATGAATGGATGGCATGTAAAAATAGATTTTTACAACATTTGTCCTTTTTTTTTTTTAATTCAAATATTAGTATGTTAGAAAAATCTGATCTTGCCAATTAGTTGAATATTACATCCCAAGGAAAGGCTTTTAAACATTTCTAATCTAAGCAATATTTTAGATACCATTCATTTAGTTTTTTTAAATTGCTTTTGTTCTGTTTTCTCTGTCTGTAGTTGTCTGCAGCCCAGGATCATATAATCCCCACGATGGAGTTCACTGTCTTCAGTGCAACCATACTTTGATATACGGAGCAGCAAAATGTTAGCAGAATATCAGTATGAATACATTGCTCTTCAGTAGCTTTGATGTATTTCATTTTTAATATAGTAATATCAATAAAATGATTTTAACAACTTGTGAATTTTGGTTCCATCAATTTGTTTTAAAAAGGAGTAATATCTAGCCCTTTTAATAAAATATTAGGTCTTGTACCATTTTTGAGTATTTGATTTTTTTAAAAAACTACATTTAGTGTTTATGAAATATGCCAGATTGACCGCTGTGACGACTAAAGCTCTCTAATTACTCACAGAACAGACCGAGTACTGGCAATGGGCATGTATACTTCCCTACAAGTTGCTTACGAATGTGCTTCTGCTTTTTCTAGAAGGACCACCTCTAGTAGTGTACATGTAATTTCATCTTCCGGATCATCCAGTCCTTTCATAGACTGTTAGAGGACTGTGAGGAGCCCAGGCTCCACAGCAGTAGCTCAGAGGTGGAGCACACTGGGACATAGATCCAAGTGTGAGACTCTACTAAATTGTGTTTCTTCCATGAACAATTACCAGGTAAGAAATTATTTCTTTCTGATAGCAGTGACTTCAGTTTCCGTGGTAAGTAGGGCATCAGTCATTCTACATTAAATTTCATAAGCATAAATTAGTGCTAGAGGGCCATATGCAATTCCTCCCAAAAAAGTGGCAGAATTTCAATTTAATTAATCAGTCATAATATTATCACTATTTTCACTGCAATCTTATGGCCATGCCAGCAGGACCCAAATTGAACATTAAAGCTCTCTTGGCTCTTATCTGGAGTAGGCTAAATCTTTAGATAAAAGATCTATTTATATCATTTTACACCGCTATAATAGAGTCAACCTGTGTCTAAGAGAAACATGACTAACTGGTTGCCTTAATGCCTTCTCATTGTTATTCCTTAGCGGGTCTGACCCTTAAGGACATGTTAAGCACACTGTCAGAAACCAGCCTCAGATCATTACGTAGTCAGGAGATTTGCGAAGCAGCCCCTATGGAATTCTCAATATAGTTTTAATAAAACACTAGTGTTAGTGGAAACAAATTCATGTTGAAAAGTCTAATTTGTGCTGCAAAATCCGTATCAGTTTCTGTATTGAAAATAGTCTAACTCAGTAGTTCTCAATCAGGGGTACATGTACACCTGGGGGTAGTCAGAGGACCTCCAGGGTGTACATCAAATCATATTTGCCTAGATTTACAACCAACTACATAAAAAGCACTAACGAAGTCAGTACAAATTAAAGTTTCATACAATGACTTGTTTATACTGCTCTATATACTGTACACTGAAATGTAAGTACACTATTGATTTGATTTTTTATAATTGGCTTTTTTATAATTTATATGATAAAAATGAGAAACTAATCAATTTTTCAGTAATAGTGTGCTGTGACACTTTTTTGTATTTTTATGTCTGATTTTGTATGCAAGTGGTTTTTAAGTGAGGTGAAACTTGGGGGTACGCAAGACAAATCAGACCTCTGAAAGGGGTACAGTAGTCGGGAAAGGTTGAGAACCACTGGTCTAACTCATTTGACCCTTGATTTTTTTCCCTTTTGGGGCAATAGGTGGCTTGAAGGTGGGGGAGGGGGTCTCCAAGTATTTCATTTGTTTTTTTAAGTATTTCATGTTTTCCTTATTTTAGACACTTCCATGGAGTATATATCCTCAAAGTGGGGAAGAGTTACCTTTGAAGGAAACAACTAATTCTGATCTCAGGAAATTTCATTTGTAAGTAATCTCAGCTCACCTAGTATTCCCTGCATGGCAAAATAAAGGAGCTGATAGCAGGGGCAGTTTCTAGCTATTTTGACACGTTTTTAGGTAAACGGTTTAATACCATGGCTCTTCAGGTTTGGGATTTTCCAGTCGTAGCCTTATACACGTAGACCATATGTTTAAAAGTTTGGATCTGTTACACTTATTACATTCTGAGAAGGAGCATTAAATACAGGTGCTTCGGCATACATAGGGTATCCCTACACTACAAAATTAGGTTGATTTTATAGAAGTCGATTTTTAGAAATCGATTTTATACAGTCAATTGCATATGTTCACACTAAGCGCATTAAGTCGGCGGAGTGCGTCCTCACTACCGTGGCTAACATCGACTTACAGAGTGGTGCACTGTGGATAGCTATCCCACAGTTCCCGCAGTCTCCGCCGCCCACTTGAATTCTGGGTTAAGCTCCTGATGGGACAAAAACATTGTCGCGGGTGGTTTTGGGTACATGTCGTCAGTCGCCCCTCCTTCTGTGAAAGCAACGGTAGACAATCGTTTCGCGCCTTTTTTCTTGGGTTACCTGTGCAGATGCCATACCACGGCAAGCATGGAGCCCGCTCAGCTCACCGTCACTGCTGCTGTTGTGGGCAAGTCTGCTGGGGGGGCTGCTGTGATTCAAGTAGCCAATGCAATCATTGACGTTCTGTTATCAAGGGTAGTGACTCTGGGAAATGTGCAGGCCTTTTTAGATTTTAGGTGCATCATATTCCTGTCCTTTGTCACTGGTGAAGAAGTCTTGCAGCCGTATATTCCAGTCCGGTCGGCGCTGTAACACCCCACAGCACTTCCGTGGTTGACACAGGTAACAGCTCCAGGGCTCTTGCTCTTTTGCCTTGGCCAAGGTACCTTGCCCTAACTGGACCTCCAAGCATTCGACACAGAAGCACTTGCAGCAGCTGGCATTGCTACACAGCAGCAGCTCCTGGCCTTCGCAGCAGACGGTGCAGTAGGACTGCTAACCGTCATCATCCACTGCTTCCCCTGTAACTCTGCTCTCCTGCTCCCCAGTGATGAGCTCGGGGGATCCGTACTGGTCCTCCTGGGTGCTGCTGGCAGCAGACGGTGCAGTAGGACTGGTAACCGTCCTCATCGGACATGTAGCTTGGCCAGGGGTTCTGGGAACGTCTTCCCTGCCTGGCTCCTAGCAACCTCCAGAGCATGATGTACGGCTCCATCACTTCCTCTGCAACTCTCCTCTCCTGATCCCCAGCGACGAGCTTTGGGGATCAGTTCATGAAGCCTGGATAGTAGTAAGGAGCAGTTCAACTATAGGCTGAGCAAGTGCAGAATGGTGGTAGAATGTGCCTTTGGACGTTTAAAAGCTCGCTGGTGCTGTTGTTCAGACCTCAGCGCAACCAACATTCCCATTGTTATTGCTTATTGCTGTGTGCTCCATAATATCTGTGAGAGTAAGGGGGAGACGTTTATGGCGGGGTGGGAGGTTGAGGTAAATTGCCTGGCATCCAATTTTGAGCAGCCAGACACCAGGGCGATTAGAAGAGCACAGGAAGGCGCGCTGTGCATCAGAGAGGCTTTGAAAACCAGTTTCATGACTGGCCAGGCTTCGGTGTGACAGTTGTGTGTGTTTCTCCTTGATGCAAACCCGCCCCCTTTGTTGATTTTAATTCCCTGTAAGCCAACCACCCTCCCCCCTTCGAAATAAAGTAACTTGTTTTGAAACCATGCATTCTTTCTTTATTAATTAAAAAAAAAAAAAGAGAACGGACAAGGTAGCCGGGGTTGGATGGGGGAGGAGGGAAGGACAAGGCCACATTGCTTATTGTAGCCACACTAAAAATCAAACTGTTTGAATGACAGCCTTCTGTTGCTTGGACCATCCTCTGCAGTGGAGTGGCTGGGTGCTTGGAGCCCCCCCCCACCTCCCCCGCGTTCTTGGGTATCTGGGTGAGGAGTCTATGGAACATGAGGAGGAGGGTAGGCAGTTATACAGTGGATGCAGCGGGGGTCTGTGCTCTAGTTGGCTTTCCTGCAGCTCCAACAGACGCTTCATCATGTCCGTTTGCTCCCCCATTAGCCTCAGCATCGCGTCCTGCCTCCGCTCTTTGCGCTCACTTAATTCTTTCCTGGCCTTTGCCGCTGAATGCCTCCATGCATTAAGCTGTGCCCTATCAGTGCGGGAGGACTGCATGAGCTCGGAAAACATGTCATCGCGAGTGCGTTTTTTTCGGCTTCTAATCTGCGATAACCTCAGGGACGGAGATGATAGGGGGAGCGTAGAAACATTCTACGCTCTATGGTTCTGGGGGGACTGCATGGTCACCTGTGCTGCTGAGTTCGCCACGCTGACCAAACAGGAAATGAAATTTAAAAGTTCCCGGGGCTTTTCCTGTGTACCTGGCTAGTGCATAAGAGTTCAAAGTGCTGTCCAGAGTGGTCATAATGGAGCACTCTGGGATAGCTCCCGGAGGCCAATACCATTGATTTGCGTCCGCACTACCCCAAATTCGACCCAGCAAAGCGATTTTAGCGCTACTCCCCTCGCTGGGGAGGAGTACAGAAGTCAATTTTAAGAGCCCTTTAGGTCGATGGAATGGGGTTGGTTCTGGGGACGCATTCATTTTTAAATCGACCTAATGTGGCAAAATTCAACCTAACCCCGTAGTGTAGACCAGGCCCTAATGTTACTTCTTAGTCATAAGGGAAATTAATTAAAGAAATTATATTACAAGCACCCTATTTGTATATTTTTGTCAAGACTTCATAAAGATTCTGATTTGATGTGAATTGTGCCAAAAAATTAAAACATTTGAAAAACCATAGAGGTTGCTTTTTCAGTTTTAATGAACTAGTTTCTCTGTAGTGCATATTTATGTATGTATATCAAGGGCCTCTAATTAATCAAAAATAAATGCAAAAACATAATTAAGATTAACAATGACTTTTTATTGCTGAAACAGTTGTATAAACAGCATATCTAATATTTAGCAGAATATATAAAATAGCTATTTTTATCAAATGCCATTTTAAAACAAGTAGTTGGGAAAAAGCAGTGTTTGGGGGGGAAAATACTTCAGCAGTAAATTATGAAATTCATCTCTGTTCAACTGGAATCTACAAAATTACCAAATCCTAGTTATTCCTCATTTTCATTTGGTAAACAGGGATAAACAGAATGCAAACTGTAAGTGTGGTTACATTAATTTGAAGCACTGCACATAAATGTCATCTCTGTAATTAGCCAATCACGATAACACTAAA